AAAAAAAAAAAAAAAAAAAAAAAACATTTAAAAATTGTTCTGAATCGATTAACGAGGATTAAGCACCGATTCTATCTCTCAGCGACTGAGAGATGCGAATACTATTTATTGTTGGCAAGACAAAATTTTATGGCTCTTTAAAAACTTTGAAATTTTGTAAATTGTAATTTTTGACTCTTCCGAATTATTCAAAAGGTTGCCGACCCTTGTTCTAGGACAAAGTTCCTTTATGCATAGTTTCCACTACCAAAACATAGGCTGTACCCATCGGTAGACGACTATGGAGTGGATCCTTCTGCTATTGGTCAATAAGATTCATAATTTTCTTCCCTCTCCAAAGGGGTGTAGTTCATTTCTGATATAAATATGTGAAAAGAAGTAAGAGTGAGTCCTTAGTCCTTAATCTTCAGTCCTTAGTTAGTCTGTCTGTATCTGTCTGTATCTGTCTGTTATATCAGTCATTCTGCCAAATCAGTCAGTTTATCAATCAGTCAGTCAGTCAGTCAGTTTATCAATCAGTCAGTCAGTCAGTCAGTCAGTCAGTCAGTCAGTCAGTCAGTCAGTCAGTCAGTCAGTCAGTCAGTCGATCTTATATTTGTAACTCTTTTGTATTCTGTATTTTGTAACCACATCACTTTTTGTAAACTTCTGTAAATACGGTTCAACATCATATATTTCATCTTTATTTCTTTGTCTTAACCCCACTGAATATATTTTTGTTATAACAAGATAAATATGTTAATTGAATTAATTGAAATGATAGATATATAAATACATATTATATAAACTTTAACATATAAAATTCTAAACATCTAATTTTACATTGCACTTAAAATATTTAAAGATTATAAATTATTGACTACTGTACCCCTTCATCCCTCCCCTCCCCAAAAATTTTGAACTTATATTCTTTTAGATAATTAATATCTTAAAAAGACAACGTCATTTTTATTAAAACTCAACCACAAGACACGAAGTAAACATAGCATTTGTAAAAACAAGAAACATCCCTTTCTCGGTTTAACCCTTGTCAATATTCTTCTCAAAATTAATCTTATCTAATATATAAAGCATAATATATTATAATTTATCTAACAATCATTAGAGAAATATTTCAATATTTTTTTTCTATTTTTTTCTTTTTTTTTAGTTTGTTTTTCCAATAAATTTCTGTGATAATGTAAAGAGAAATCTTATTTGAAAAAAAAAAAATGACATACCACGAATAACAAAATAGAAATCGATCATTTCAAATTACGGAACACTTCAAGTGAAAGCGAAAAAATAATAAAAATGACATGAATATTGTCGGCAAGTACTTCTTATACTTAATGGCAACGTAATCGTTCGAGTGAATACTTACGAGAATAATGCATGCAAAACAAACGATTCGATAAAACAATACGATATACGTTTTTATTATTAAAACATAAATTGTTTCTAAATGTTAGTATATCAAGCTGTAAATAATGTCGTACAATACGTAAATTATATTAAAAAAAATAAAAAAATAAAAAAAAAATAAAAGAACATAAAAATCTAATTTTAATGACAAATTCGGTCGTACTTATTTCCAATCTTGATTAGAATGTAAAAAACAAAACAAAAAAATGAAATTAAAATTTATAAATAAAATAATGATTGATTATCGATTAATGATTGAATGAAAAAAAAATGTTCATTATACTATATATATATAAAAGTATTTTTTTATATTATTAAAAAAAGCAAAGAGAGTATATAATATTGAATTAAATATTATTTAATTGTAACATTATATATTATAATTGAATAAAAAGATGAATAAGTTGAAAATTAATAATAATAATTAAATATATTGTAATATATTTATTACCTTGATCGAAACAAGACAACCAACCATAGCAATGATGTTGCATAGCATGTGATAAGCATTGAGAAGTAAAGTTAACGAGTGTGTAACATGACTGGCTACCATCTCAATGATGAAAAAAGCAACTGTGAAGAATACAACCAAGTACAACTGTACAGGCTGTAGTTTTCTGAACCACTCTTTCACCGGCATGACCCTGAAAAAAAAAAGTCACACAGTGAACGATTCTAGTTTTACTCTATTCATCTATCCTATCTATCTATCTATCTATCTATCTTTCTATCTTTTCTTTTTCTAATACAAGTAAATAGTGAAAGAAACGATGTGTGTTGAATAAAATCAGTATAGTAATCCATACCACTGAGAAAATTACCGTTGACCGACCGATTCTAGACAACGGATCAGTTTTTCTATCAATCGTTTATCTTCCTTTCATTTACAAAACAAATCTCATTGATCTATATTTTTTTTTCTATTTTAATAATTTTTATAAATATGTATATATATATACATAAAAAATTTATAAAATGTATTAATAAAATTTATATATATACATATATTTTAATTTATATTATTTTTATGAAATTTAATTTATTATAAAATTATTGTACTATAATATAATATTTATAAAATTTAATTTATATTTTAATTTATATATTATATATAATTTATATATTATAATATATTTATATTTTAATTTATATATTATATATAATTTATATATTATAATATATTTATATTTTAATTTATATATTATATATAATTTATATATTATAATATATTTATATATTAAAATATATATTATATATTATATAGAAAAAAGAAAAATTGATCACAATGATTTTAAATAAAACTTGAAAATATTATATAAAAATATTTAGTTAAATAATAAAATAATGAAATAAGAAATGATCTTAGTAATAACAAATTTTAGATAAATTTTATAATAATTTAAAATAATGTATAACGTACGATATATATATATATATATAAATATTATTATTATTATTATTAATAAAATATCCGTATGAAGTAAAAACCAAGGGCTTTATTATTGACGAAAGGGGAGATTACGTTCTAGCTATTTATTTCAAGTTATCGCCAATGACACTAATGCGGGTGTCTCTTTCAGATCATGTTCGCTTTTAAAATGAAATGTGTATAACTAATCGTTGTATAATAATATGCTACTCATTTATCATATATATGTATATAGAAAGTGAAAATCATAATTATGAAAAAAAAAATAAAATTCTTTTTTAAAACGATTGATTTCATTTTACAAATTCTTATTTTAATTTTATGTTTTAATGAATCATTATGTTTACGACATAAAACAAATTCTTTACATGTTACTAACTGAAATTATTTAATTTAAAATTACAAAAAATATATATTATATTAAAAAAAAAAAAAATCAAATCAAAGATAACTATTTTCATATCTGTTTTTTTTTTTTTTTTTTGACAATAAAGTGTCATCTTTGATATTATCGAATACTTGAACTTTAAGCTCTTTGATCTACTTCTATTCTAGGATATCATAGTATATACATATAATATCTCAATAACGAATAGAAATAATAATAATAATATTAAAAAAAAAAAAATGTTGATTTAAATCGATAAACTTAAATTCTTTCGTTACGATCAAAATTTTGTATACCTTTCCTTTTAGAAATAACGAATTAAATGAGACTTCACTGTACATAATACAAATACACAAATTATATAGAATGGACCCCGACGTATTACGTTTCGTCGAATGATTTGGTAATTACGTATCTAATATAATGATCTACCCACGTCAATTACGATTATCTTAACAATATCCTATGAAATAATAGATTAACGTTCATCAATACTGTTTCATTAAAATAAAAACACGTGTTCATGATCTTATTCACGATACACCCAAAAACATTTGTAAATGTATCTATATATGAATAAAATATATATAAATTAAATTAATTAATAATCAAATAAAATACAAATATATTTAATCGTTAAATCGAAGAATTAACAAATGTACCAATAATTATTAAAATGATCTAAGTCATATATCTTTTGTTTATAATTTAAAAAATTAAATTTCAACGTTAAATGATTTCTATAAAATATTAAAATAACAAACACTATCTAAACAAATTTATTTTTTAATAATATCGTGAAAATTACGTTGAATTAATTTAATTTAAAATAATGTAATATGAAATAACAAACTAATTTTTTTTTTTTTTATTTTAATTTTAACTTACACCACTTTTATAATTACGAGCACAAATGATAAACAAAATCTAACGATTTTATATATCAAAATATAATAATTATTTCACCATTTTTCTTATTACACTTACAATTTCAATTATTTTCACAGATTTAGAAAAAAGAAAACTGTATATAAATTTTGAACAGTGTACACGACACCGTATAAACTTATGTGGAATTTATAAAAGTCACATCGATGATCAACACGAAAGGGAAGAAGGAACAACACCGACTGACGTTACCCTATAATCGGCTCAACGCTTTTTATCATCGAAGCTCTCTCTCTCTCTCTCTCTCTCTCTCTCTCACTCTCTCACTTACTCTCTCCTACTCTTTATTACACTCTTACAAACGTTCATCTTCATAGAGCCACTTGATAAAGAAAAGAAAAGCGAATGGGCTATGAGAATGAAAGTACACTATATATATACATACATATATATATACACATATATATATATATATCGAAATAATCAAAAATAAATGTCAATCTTATAGTTCTGTTTGTTGTTTGATTGTACCCCCCTTTCTCAACTCTCACGTCACTATTGAAAATAATTTTCTTTTTATTATTTTCAGTTCTTATCTTATTGTTTGTTCCTTTTTAGTTATCCGGTTTTAGTTTAATTTTAATATTCATATAATATAAATATAATTTAAATTTAATTTTTTACTTATTAAATATAATTAACATTATATTTTCTTCTGTCCAAAGTTTAGACACTTTAATATACAAATAAATATTTTTTCTATTTTTTTTTTTTTTTCAAAAATTGTATGACGAGTAATGAAATACAATGAATCAAATTTTAATTAATTAAATTATGATTTATTCAAATCATCGATATATATATATATATATATATATATATATATATATAGTTTATATGTTTTGTTTCAAAAAAATTTATACCTGAATCAAAAACCGGTTGAAGATGATCGGTTTAAAATTGCAACACTTATTTATATCCGATTCGTAGAATGATTCATGGTCGTTGTTTGTTTCTTTTTTTTTAAATTCACGAATGAACAGTGACACTTTTTTCGTAGGCGTAAGATTTGTACATTTGTACACATAAAAATCAAATGGACAGGTATATATGCACGAACACAATATATATATTTAAATTCGTCAAATTAAAAAACAAAAAGAAAATAAAAAAGATTTTGTTGTGTGCTGCAAGAATTGTCACAAAGATGACAAATTTCAATGCTCGGTTAAAAACGGTTCAATCCCGTCACGCTAATTTGATACCAAAACACGTGTTTTATACGAAATTATGTAACATCGAGTACACGTTGTATTTTTTTTTTTTTATATTTGGTTAGCAATGGAATCTCTAAAATTGATCCTTTTTTTTATTTTTATTTTTATTTTTTAATTTTTATAGTAAGAAAAAGAAATAGTAGTTTTAATCCGACCTATTTAATTATTACAAAATAATAATTTTTATTTAATAGTTTAATAATAATTTATATTATATTGATATACGATTAAATTCGTATATTTATTTTTTATGAAAATATTAATTTTATTTGTAAATATAAATTTATTTTAAATTTATTTGATATATTTATATTTTAAATATAAATTTATTATGTATTAAAACAAATTTACCTAAAAATTAATACGACCTATTTAATTAATAAAAAATAATCAAATAATTTATAACATTAATAAACGATTGAATTTCTACGATTTAACATAATTCAACTATTTAGATTGACATTTAATTAATTTTATCCAATATAACATTACGTGTAACCTACATACAATGTGCTTACAAAAACCTTTGATTTTTTTTACCAAACATCAATTATATTATTGATCCAATTGGCGAATTTTGAATAAACTAAATTCTTGTATAGATTTAATTTTTTTTCGTAGGTATACACGTGTACGATGAGCGTTCCCTTTAACTGACATTTGTTCATAGTGAATTTGAATTGAGCGTGTTAGCTTTACAAGGAAAGTCAGATGTGGATCCAACAACAGCCGAGTTAGTTGCGAACATCCGGTCACGGTAATAGCCTTTGAACTATAATTCGTCCGCTCCTACCGATCATCTCGCTATAGTTCTCTCTCTTTCTCTCTCTTTTACCAACCTTTACCTTCCATCTCATTATTTTTATTCAGAATTTTAAACGATTTCGAGTATCAATTGATTTAATCGTCTAAATAAATCTCTAAACATTTGCAATGTTTTTTCTTTCAAACGAATTACAAAAATCAACGTTAGTTATTAAAATAAATTTTTTTTTAAATAAAATAAATCAACTTACGTATGAAAAAAAAATAAATAATTATATTAAATAATATAAAAAAAAAAATAAAATATTATTTTTATTTAACAAAATTCGTTAGAAATAATTTTATGTATGATCACAAAAAGGAAATAATTTATTTGAATACAAATAAAATAATCTTTCGTAAATTCGGTTGAATATTAAAGTAAAAGTTTTTAAACGAACTTTCCTTACGAATGATATTATACATAAAAAAAAAAAAAAAAGAAAAAAGAGAAAAAAGTTACTCACGTATTTCGAAAATGTTCTTTTTGCGAAGAATTCTCAACGTTCGTGAGAAAAAGAATCACTATAAGACTTGTGTTTAGAATCACGGATAAAGGTAGTCTCGTTCTTAAAGTAATTTTTCTTCAAAGACTTTCTCTCTCAAGGTCCAACTAAACGAAACTCTTTTTTCCTTTTTCTAATCGTACGAAAAAAGGAAGAGGAAAAAACAATTTCGAAGTTCAAAGTCAAATTAACCAAACTTTCTATTAGAACATAAATAACTTCGTGTTTAATATGATGATACATTTAATTTTACTGTTTCAAATAATTCCAAAGGTTTGATTGCTATTCTACACACGTTTTTCAATTAAACTAATCTTAAACAACTCAACTATTATCTTCTTTGATATCAGACCAAGTTGTTTCTTTTACTTTTAAAGACTGACCTCAGATTGAGTCCAACAAAGATAATTTCTAGATAACAAAGTAGACCTAAATTCGACGTTTGAAGTTTCAAATAATGTTTGACAATTACACATATTTAATTTATATATAAATACAATTATTAAATAAAATAAAATTATGAAATAAATAAATTAATAAAAATTTGTTATACAAAATATATTATTAAATATATATTATTATTATTATTATTATTATAATTTTAATTAAGTAATATATTTAATTTTAATATTATTTTAATTTTAATTAAATAATATATTAAATTTTGATATTATTTTAATTTTAAGTAAATAATATATTTAATAATTTAATTTATTATTAAATATAATATTATATTTTTATTATTTAATTTAATTATATTAAATTATTGTAATTAATAATATGTACATGCATAATTTAAAAAACATGTACAATATAAGGTAGCTATGTGATATAAAATTAAAATATAAATTAGGCTAAATGTTCTACTGACAAAAAAGATTTTTTGATAAAATAAGAGAGAAGGTGAGAGCAATGACCTTGATGGCAAACAGAATAGACTCGGATAACGGATGGCGGGGTCCTGAACAGTTGGACCAACTGCATCCAAGCTTCTGAGCCTGGTTTGCATGACTATAAGACGACCAAGGTCACAACATTAACAGCGAGGAGGAATTGACGAGATTTTTTATTATTATTTTCAAATATATATTTTTTTAAATTCAAATTTAATCATAATCAATGTGAGTGTGTGTTAATAGTGTGAATAAATTGTGAAAGAAATAAAATTGTTATAGAAATAGTGTAATACAGTTGTAAATAGATACAGGTATGTGTTGAGAATAATTTTTTTCAATTATACTTTTGTAAAAATTGTTAAACTTTGCTTCTGCATTTTTTATCATTTCACACAAAAAAAAAAACTCATAAAAAATTGTAATGAATTAATAAATAAAGAAAGATGTCCAATATATGAACAAATTAATTTTTTGTTTGTGCATATATTCACACATTTAACAAATTTAATTCAATTCTATTGATTTAAATTAATTTTATAAAGTATATAAATTATTTTACATTTCAGATCTCATTTCTCCAATTTTAAACTTTTATCAATTTCTCCTCAAGTTAATTTATTTTATATAATCGAACTTCACGCTTGATTCAACAAGATTTTCACGTCTATCACATAATCTGTTCAATCACGTAATGATTAAATAATAACCATAAAATTTATTATTACGAATGTTATTACTTTATTATTATTATTATTATTATTATCATTATCACTAGATCGTGGGTCATCGAACTACATATTAAAAGAAACTTAAAATAATCCTTGTCCTTTTAAAATAATACTTTTAGAATCATTAGAAAGCAATGATTATACAATTTTTTCTTGTTCCTATCAAGAAAATCACGTAACGTTTAACAGAAACATAAGTTCTAACCTTATCGTTATCTCATCTTCTTACTAATTAATTTTTCATCATCAAGAAGGTCATCTAACATATATTCAAAAAAAAAAATTGTATTAGTACAATTCGATAAATAATTTCAAGTATATTGAAAAATAATTACGATTGATATATATATATATGCACTTTTGTTAGATTATTATATTAAACTAGAAAATTTACTATGGTTACACACACTCGTCGAGATAAGAGATCACTGATAGACAGTTTCATCTCTTATGTTTTATCTTTGATTATTATTTACTCTAGGAGTACGTACACGTATTTAATAAAAATAAAAAAGTGTAACGCGGAGTTACGCGATTTTATATTTTCCCGCGTTTCATTATTTTTCCTATTTACGTAAAAACAAGTCGAACATGAAAAGATGCATCGTGTAATAATGAATTATTCAAACTGCATACAACTTTGCAAGTACCTTTTGAAGTACGCATAAATATTTCACAATCAAGGACGTATATTTTAATTCATTGAAATAACAAAAAGATGTCATTATTTCAGTATAGTAATTTTCAAACTGATATTTTTTTCAATCCTTAAATTGGTCCAAGAAATCGAGTATCTTGCCAGGTCGCCTGATCTCACCATCCTTTGCATTTTTTTCTATGGTTATATTTAAAATTCAGAATATATGTCATCCAACCGGTTTTAATAGAAGAACTTCGGCAGTGCATAGTCGAAGAAAGTCGTCGGATTGCACCGGAAGTATTGCAAAATATTTCACGTATCACTGATTGAAAATTTTTTATCAATACATGTAGAACAGTGTTACACACATTTTGAAAA